AGACCCAGTAGACCCAGTAGAACCAGTAGACCCAGTAGAACCAGTAGAACCAGTAGAACCAGTAGACCCAGTAGAACCAGTAGACCCAATAGACCCAGTAGAACCAGTAGACCCAGTAGAACCAGTAGACCCAGTAGACCCAATAGACCCAGTAGAACCAGTAGACCCAGTAGAACCAGTAGACCCAGTAGACCCAAATACCCAGCAGACCCAATAGACCCAGTAGAACCAGTAGACCCAGTAGACCCAGCAGACCCAGCAGACCCAATAGAACCAGTAGAACCAGTAGACCCAGTAGAACCAGTAGACCCAGTAGACCCAGCAGACCCAGTAGAACCAGTAGACCCAGTAGACCCAGCAGACCCAGTAGAACCAGTAGAACCAGTAGACCCAGTAGACCCAGCAGACCCAGTAGAACCAGTAGACCCAGTAGACCCAGTAGACCCAGTAGACCCAGTAGAACCAGTAGAACCAGTAGACCCAGTAGAACCAGTAGAACCAGTAGACCCAGCAGACCCAGTAGAACCAGTAGAACCAGTAGACCCAGTAGAACCAGTAGACCCAGTAGACCCAGTAGAACCAGTAGACCCAGTAGACCCAGCAGACCCAGTAGAACCAGTAGACCCAGTAGTAGAACCAGTAGCCTACCTGTTCCGCTCCCTGGAAGCAGATCCTGCAGCTCGGGGTCGGGATGCACGTCTCGCTGCTGCAGGTTGACGGCATTTCCTGCGTTTTGCCACATCTGCCCCCCACCGCCCCCTCCTCGCTGGAAGTGTTGCCCCCGTTTTCCTCCCCGCTTATTTTCTCAGCGTCAGCCGCACGCGCGGCCCTCTTCCTCCTCTTCCTCTTCCTCTCCTCCTCCTCTCCCGGCTGCGGCTCCTCCTCGCCGTCGGGCTGCGGACGTCCTTGGGAGCGGAGCGGGTCGCTCTCCTCCCAGGTGAGGCGCTGCGTGGCGGCCGGAGCTCCGCCGCCGGTCCCGCATCTCCCTCCTCTGCGCTCATAATAAAATGCAAAGTCAAATAAAATTGCATAGATGCCTCCTCCTCTTCCTCCTCCTCCTCCTCCTCCCCGTCCTTTACTGCGACGCAGGGAAAGCCGGCTCGGTTCGGTTCGCTAAAGCTCGGTCCGCTCGCAGAGCTGCACATCAGCAGCCGGAAGCTCCCGCTGCTGGAACCGCCTGCTGCGCTCCGGAGAGCCGCGGAGGCGCTCCATGTTCCTCCTGCTCCTCCCCGGAGCAGAAAACAACCCGAACGAACCTCCTGCCTGTCCGGCTCCTCCTCACAGCGGGAGGCGAGGAGGAGGTGAACGTTCTGCCTGTCCGGCTCCTCCTCACAGCGGGAGGCGAGGAGGAGGTGAACGTTCTGCCTGTCCGGCTCCTCCTCACAGCGGGAGGCGAGGAGGAGGTGAACGTTCTGCCTGTCCGGCTCCTCCTCACAGCGGGAGGCGAGGAGGAGGTGAACGTTCTGCCTGTCCGGCTCCTCCTCAGCAGGAGGAACTTCTTGAGGTCCCTGCGCTCTCAGGCAGCAGCAAACTGCATTTCTCCGGAAATGACCAATCAATCACATTATTACCCCATTAATGTGATGGAGGAGGCGCGTTTCCAGAGCAACCAGAGGGAGGAAGAGCCGCTTCATGATCCCGGCGGCGGCGCAGCATCAGGACCAGCAGGAAGAGGCTGCGGGTCCCCGGGGGCGCGACCCGCCGCGCTCCTCCTCCTGGTCTTAGAGGAATCACCTGCAGGCGCGCAGATGCTGTCGTCATCACCATCATCACCATCATCATCATTATTATCATTATCATCATCACCATCAGCATCATCATTATTATCATTATCATCATCACCATCATCATCATCATTATTATCATCATCATCATCGGCTGCTCAGAACTCAAAACAAACCAGATCTCATGCACCAGAATATGATGTAAAATCATTGTCTGTATGATGACAGCTGTCAGAGGCCTGTCATGTTTTCCCATAGCCTCAAAAAGTCCAAACAAAAGTTCATCGGTACCGGTTCTGCAGGTCAAAGTTGAGTTCAGTCACTTTTAATATTTAGCTATGAAGCTTCGGCTCCTCGGAGCGTCTGACCCTGAGAGGTCAGGCAGCCGGACGGTCCTGCTGTGGGCAGGAAGCTGATTGGATGGAAACAAAAACAAACCTGGAAGGAGAATTAAATGTGGAAAAGCGTCCGTCTTTGCAGACTCATCAGATTTTAAATGATCAGTTTTCCAAGCCTGTTTTTAACAGTGAACAGTTTCTCAGTATTTATGACATCATCAGGTGACAAAGGTTGACCAGGTTGTGTTCTGGTTGATCTGAGGAAATGGGAAACAGCAGCTGGGTTGAGCTGAATGAAGCGTTTCCAGCAGGAATCTCCACGCCGCTTCACTCCGTCATCATCTCCATGATGATCCTCAGACGTTCAATCATTCCTGAGAGAAGAATCCATTTCCAAGAACATTCTCTGGGTTTTTTTTTCTTTTGAGGATGTCTTTCACTTTCCGGAGAGCGGGTCCAGTAATGGACTCTAATGCAGCAAAGGAAATTATCCACTCATGTCCGATCACTACCTACACAGCGCCGATCAATACCAGGCCCCCAGGGCTCAGAGGGAGACCAGGATCATGCAGACAGAAGGGGGAAGTTAGAACTAACTCACTATTATCACTATATATATAATATCTATTTCTACATCAATCTACACAGATACCTTGATATTTGTCTATCTATAAATAAATAGATAAACTTTATGAAATGCCAGATGTTGCTTTAATCTAAAACTATTTGCGTCTCGAGATGTGAAGCGAAACTGGAGATGGAAAAAAGACTCCATTTCCACCAAAACTCAGAATTAATTTCAGAAATTTTCTAGAAATAACTTCGACATTTCTGAGCTAAAAAGTAAAAAAAATTCAAGAGAAATGAAAATTGATTAATGTCAGAATTATTTTTAGAAAATTTCTGAGTTCAAAATTCAGAAATCTGCAAGAAAAACAAATTCATGTTGAAAAAACTGGAAATTTTCTGAACTCAGAAATACAAAATTATCTGAGTTTCAAAAGTAAAATATTTTCTGCTTTACAAGCTCATTAATATCAAGTTTTAGTGTTGAAACATTTTGAGATTTGTCTCCAAATTCTGACGTTTTTTTTTCCTCCAAATTTTGACTAAGTGGCTTTTTTTCACCTTAATCCTCATCTGTCATCCGCCCAAGCCAAAATACATAAATTAAAAAATTTCAAAACATAAATAAATGTTCCTCCATGTGGGACTTGTTAGACAATCCAGAATAATCTGGTGATAATCTGCAGATCTCCTGAGGATCAGACGCTGAAGAGGAAATTTGCACAGGAAAACCTGCTGATAACAGAAATTGGCTGAAGTCAGGAGTTATGCAGCGATTTGTCATTTCATGCAATCATGCAAAACAAAGCACCAAATCCGCTCCATCGTGCTGCTTCCAAGCATCAATTTAAACTTTTCATTAACAGCAGGATGTCAGAAAAACAGCAAAGACTGAAGGAAGCTCATAAATTCTTGGTGATTCATAAATCAGCGGTCTCATAAAGGAGCCGCTGCGGCCCTCAGACTCCATCACTCCTCTCTGACGCGCACAGATCTAATGCCTCATCTCTCTCCCACGTCGTCCGGATCAATTAGTCTCCTCCGCGCCGTCGGCCTGTCTGCGCCGCCCCTCCTCCGCGGCGTGCGCCCGGGCAGAGTGCCCTAAACCTCCCCACCATCAAACACACTCAGGAAGTGCAGCGGCTGCCAAATATAAAGTGGAGAACCGCAAACAAATGGAGAAACTGAGCTGATTAATGCAGAGGAGTCGCCATGACATCATCCGCTCCAGGCTCATTCACAAATCTGACGAATGAGAACAGAAGGGCGTGACGGAGTCCAGCTTTGATTCTCATCATTTCACAGAAACAGGTTCTGAGTTTCTATAAATAATAACATTACAGACACTCTGAGGATAAAACAGCAAATCATAGAAAACGAAACGTTTCTCATATAAACAAAGCAAATTAACTTTTATTTCAAATATGTTTTTATACATTAGCTAAAACTGTTACTGACAGCATGAGGCAGGTCATCTTCCTGGGTTGCTTTTGTCATCTGAATAAACAACCAATCAGAGCCAGCAGGAGGGGCTTAGCGCCGCCAATCATCCTCGTGAACATGTTGCTAAATGTGCTAACAGCTGAGAAACTAACTGTTCACCCACCGTCATGGATGGCAGAGAGAGAAGATGATTGACAACGCTAAGACCCGCCTCCTGGCTCTGATTGGTCGTTAGTGCTGGGAGACAGCAGAGCGGATTGGTGTTTTACATAATTACATAATTGAGTATTCAGCTGTTGGCTTGGTCTTAAAACACATTCAGAGCCGACCCGAGCAGCTGCTAACAGCACAGAGCAAAGATCTGGGATTTTAACCTCTGATCATTGGGAATTAAATGATTTCATGGTTTCAGAAGACATAAATTAAATAGTTTCACATTTAAATTCAAAGGAGTAAAACATGAACACACTTCATGGATTTAATCTAACAGTTTAAAGACCTGAGGCAAAAATAATTTCCTCAAACTTCAAAAGAGCTGCAGAAGAAATGATGGGAGGAAATTTGATGTAAATATTTTACTGAACGAGTGAATTAATTTAAAATCACATTTAATCACATTTCAGTTGCATCATCAGTTTTAAAATCATTTTTAATCTATTTAAGTCTCAGCTGGAGGAGAACGTCTGGATATTTTCATTTCATACGTGTGACTATTAGTAAAACATGAGAATATTTTGATGAATTTGACTTTTGCTCTTTATTTTTATTTTATTGGTTGTTTTTCTAACGAGGCTGATCAGATTCAGTTCAGTTCAGGAAAGCAGTTCCTCCTTCTTTCAGTTTTGCGGTTCGTTTTCAGCTCATCTGCACTTTTTAATCAAGACGAGACAGAAAAGTCTGAGTTCCCCTCGTTTTCCCGGCAGCCATCATCCAGCTGCAGCAGTCTGTGTCGCAGCTGCAGCAGTCTGTGTCGCAGCTGCAGCAGTCTGTGTCGCAGCTGCAGCAGTCTGTGTCGCAGCTGCAGCAGTCTGTGTCGCAGCTGCTTCCTCTCCCTCTCAGAACATAACCTGCGCTCTGAAGTGCTTCTGCTTGGTGGGCGTTGTTGCTCATCCCCGTCTTCAGCATCCAGCGGGATTTCATCCTCTGGACGTACTGCATGTCCCTCTGTCTCTGCTGGACCGAGCCGCCTGGAGGGACGGACATTTTGTTAAAGACAGGAGGACAAACGTCCCACTGAGGGAAGTCAGAAAACCACATTACAGCTGATTTCATGTAGATTTTTTGAGTTTCAACAATAAAAACACAAATCTGCTGTAAATATAAATCACGATTAACTTGTTGATGTGGTTGCTATGGTTACAATTATAGACCCAGAAGAGCTGATTGGTAATTGATCTACATTTAGACCTGAACTGATCGATTTCTGCAGGATGTTTCAACCATAAAGGCTCTTTGCCTCTTTTCCTTATTTATTACAAAATATTTATTTTTTATAAAGATGTATATATTTAACATTTTATTTTTTTATAAATTATGTCTCTTATCAAATAAATGTATTTTTACAGGCTCTGGTACATATGTATAAATATATATCTGTTTATATTTACAAATATTAAATCACCTCATAATTTCTAACCCAGAAGCATCAAGTTGAGGATTCAGCCTCCAAACTGAATCATGTTTTCGCTGCGGAGCCTCACCTGCGTCTCCCGCCCAGCCCAGGGCTCTGTACTGCCGCAGGACCCGGCCCACGGCGTTCCCGCTGCGGCCCGGAACCACGGCCCGCTGCGTCCCGAACCGCTGCCGGTAGTACCTCATGAGGGAGCGGTGGCCCACCTTGGCACCTGAGGAAACAATCAGCGGTTTGAACGGCTTCCAGAGCCAAACCAGCAGCTGGAAGCAAAGGTCACCTGAAGGCAGGGTCAGCTCCATCGTCTCATTGTCGTACTGCAGGTTCTTCTCGTCTGGCAGATCCTCGTCCGTCCCTTCATCCGCTCCCTCGCTCCGGTCCGGGTAACTGCTCCTGTTGGACCAACAGCAGAAGCACATCGGTTCACAGAGCAAAGAGGAAATCTGTCCCAACTTCAGGAAACATTGAAGTTCATCGTCTCAAACTGAAGGAGGTTAAAAACGTCGAAACCAGAGAAACACCTGAAGTCGTAGAAATCTGCGAACTCCAGGGCGGCGTCTCCGTCCGTGAACAGCTTGCAGTGGCTCTTATCCGTCATGTGACTCTGCACCGCCTCTGTGGAGTAAAACGAGCGGCCCTTCTCGTTGCACCACAAGCAAACGTTCCCAGCACCGACTTTCTCTCCTGAGGAAAAAGTTCAGGAAGTTTCTTAATTTGCAAAAAAAAAAAAAAACTGAAATACTTTAGAAACAATCTAAGAAAAAAAAACTCAAATAAATCAGGAGATTTCTGTGATCCAAAAGTCAAACAAAGTTTTAGATTAATGACAAAAATGTTCTAGAAAAAATTTCTGAGTTGAAATTTCTTCTAAAACATTTCTTAGATTAATCTCAAAATTCTTCTCTTCTTTTAAATTATGTTCAAGTTTAATTTTTTTTTTTTTACTCAGCAAATGAAAGATTTAACCCTTTATGTTCTGAATCTTCAAACCAGAGAAAAGTCTTGTTTTAAGAAAATGGCCAGTTAACCGTTGACAAGATCAATCAAATCAGCATTCGATGATGGAAACAAATTGTAAGAATCTTATAAAGCTAAATATACAAAGCATGATGAGGAACGTGCAGCGATGGACCCACCCAGGTACCGGACCAGGCCCCTGAGGTCCACCAGGAACTCCACGTCTGGGATGAAGAAGCTGTGGACTCTAGTCATGTGAGCCACGTTCCTCAGCAGCGAGCGAGAGCGGTGGGGGCAAAACAGGCAGTGTGTGACGGGGACGGAGCCCGGCAGGGGGCCCGGAGAGCCGCCTTCCTCTTCCTCCATCAGCTCCTCTTCATCCGCATCTTCCTCCATGTCGTCATCGTCATCCTCATCAACATCCTCCCACTCCTCTGGAGGGTTTTACAGAAACAGGTCAGACACTTTTCCCACAGTCAAATCTATATATTTTTATTGAATTATTTATCTATTTATTTAGTCCAAAGTTTATACCACCAATCCAAACTGGTATGACACTAAAAAAACCTTGAATACAACAATTTTATTTTTGAAATGTCTGTTTAAAACACATCCTGAACAAAACACTAACTGAATAAAAAATTCCCAAATTTCAATAACTTTAATGTGTAAAACATTGAAACAATCCAATGTAAGAGCTGAGCTAAATCACCTTCATCCTCAAATTAAATGATTAAAATATAGAAAAAAAGTCCAAACAGATCAATAAAAGAGTCTTCACTAAGTTTTCTGCTGTTTAGCAAATATAATTTTATTAATTCTAACTGACCTACAATAAGAAACATTTTGTCTTATTTAATTTTGGACATTTAGAAAAATGTTAAACTTTTTATGACTGGATTTCAACTGTAAATGTTCAAATTTAGTCTATTAAAGAAACTTCATATCACACTTTATTACCAAATTGTGCAGTTTGAATATTAATCATTTTCAATGATTTCACCTAGAAATCAAGAATTTTCCAAACACCAACAGAAAGTCTTGGATTTTCAACCCTGAAAACATCAAATCTTCTTCATTTAAACATTTAAAATGCTTTTTTATTCTGTTTACCTTCTGCTGCCTCTCCTCCCTCCTCTCTCTCCCGTCTCTTCACCTGCTCCTCCAGCCACACCATGCGGGGCGGTTTCTCCGCCCTCGCCGCGGCGGCGGTCTGGACCGTGGCCGTCTTGGGCCTGTGCTGCTCCCTCAGCACCTGCTGCAGCGCCTCGTTCCTGGCGTCGTTGTCCACCTTCTCGTCGCAGACGCCCTTCTCCAGGTTCTTCTCATTCATCCTCTCCACCTTCCTCTGCGCCGCCAGCAGCGCCTGCCTCTCTGCCTGCTGGTGCTTGTGGGACTGCAGGTGGTTCTGGTAGGCGTTGGCGCTGGAGAACTTCTTGCTGCAGATGCCGCAGCTCTCGGTGGCGTGGGTCAGCTGCTGGTCGGCGGCGGTCCGCTGCGCCAGCACGCGCTCCTGGAAGTTCTCTGCGGTGACCGGTGGCATGTCGGCCACCTTGCGCTTCAGGTTGTAGCGGTGCCAGTCGGTTTTGTAATGCGCCCGCTGCACCTCGCCATCGGCGAAGGCCACCCGGCAGCTGATGCAGGTGTAAGACGCCATGGTGACCTGAAGGCACATCGCTCATGTTTAGACTTCTTAATCACAATACAGACAAAAATATGACTCTTACTAGCAGATTAAAATACAGAAATCAGTCGAAAGGTTTCTGTTTGAAATGTTTAAAAGCAAATGTAATAATTACTTTTATTTAACCAGAAAATAAAGTTGAGAATAGAAAAGTTTATTTCTGTAGCTCATTTACAACAACCTCAGTGCTTCTAAACAATTCAACATCACAAGTAGACAGATGATAAAACAGAAAATAAAATTAAGTTTGTTGAAAATGATTATTATAAAACTGGCAGAAAATACCAAAAACTGATATAAATAAAAACCAAAATATAATTAATTTCAGCTGCACTGATTTCACACAAAAACTGAAACCAGTGAAAAGGAGGACTAGTATCCCCCCTTTCTTCATTAATATGCCTGTCACAATAAGCAATAAATCAATTGATCACATGACGAATTAAAACAAGCTCAACCATTTCAATTTGTATTATTTATCTTTTTCCTCTTTTCTCTCATTCTAACTAAAATTGGATGATAAAGTTTCAGTTTGCTGCTTCAGTCTAAACCAGTGCTTCTCAATTATTTTCCGTTACGCCCCCCTAGCAAGAAGAAAACTATTCGCGCCCCCCACTCCCCACCGTGACTATCCATCTCTGCATAACATTTTTTCGTTATTAACATTTTTTTCGCTGAAAAAACTCTAGCGGCTTATCGGCGTGATTGGGATGTAACGTATTTAAGTGACGCACTAATTTATTTGGCTTCATGCTGTCCGCTGCGAGCATTTTTAGACACAGCAAACACACCGGTCTTTCCTCTTCTCCAACTGTAGTCACAGTGAAGCCAAGCGCTAAATACGCTTCGTCGTATTTCCTCTTCTTAGCTTTCGGTTGACTTTCTGTTGTCTCATTATCTTTGTCTCTCTCCGCTTTTCTTTTCATCCCTGTGAAAAACTTTTTCATGTTGGGGGTTGTTGAATAACGGAGGCCATAGACATAACGCAGTCGGAGCTTTTTGTTGACTTAACACTGCTAACCAGGGCAAACCTGTTGTCTTGTAAGTCATGAAATGTTGCACTGTCGCAAACGTGACAGAAGTAACAATGAGAGCGCCACTGCCGCCTACTGTGCGCAATTACACTTTATACTAGTATGGCCAAAAAAAGCCTGTTCCCCAGGATCACACGCCCCCCCAGGTATCGCACCGCGCCCCCCAAAGGGGGCCCGCCCCACTATTTGAGAAGCACTGGTCTAAACTAAACCCTTTTTCGATGTACAATTTTGTTTCCAGAGACTTTATCGTTTATTTTATTTATTGTTTCTGTTGTTTTGTTTGTTTATTTTTGGATATTTAAAATGTCTTCCAGTTCCAGTGCTTAGTGTCCATTCCAATTGAAAGTTTATTGATCTTTGAGAATGAGTTGTTACATTATTATTTTAAGTAAGTGGGGTCCTGAAGAAGCCTATATCAAAGAGAAATGTTTTTCCAAGAATAATATTTGTGTTAGTGGCGCTATGAATGCTGGGACATGTAGTCACAGCCACCCAGACCTTAAAAATGTTTTAATAACATGTAGTCACTTCCCTAATGTCTGTCAGCATCAGTTAAACACTTTTATTACATTTAGTTTGCTGTTATGGTTGTTTCTATATTTAACTGAGACACATTTCTGTAAAGTCAGCAGATAAAGCTCATAATAAAACGGTTCCTGGACAGCGACCTTCATAACATTATTACAAAGGAAATTTTACACCTCACCTAGCAATCTGTTAAACAGATGATCAATCATTTTAGCGATTATTTAGATTAACCATAAAACGATAAAAGTTTAGATAACCTGCCCTGACATCTGTTAGCAACAAGCTAGCCAAACTCCCAGCTCAGGCTTAACACCGCCGATAAACAACTGAAGTTCGAACCGTTCCGACTTTCAAACCAATCTTAGAAAAAGCTGATTTTACATCCAGTAATTACTTACTTATTTAAGATGCTTAAGACTGAGAGCCAAAGAGCCTGAGTGGTGACTTTTATTCTCACTTGTAAACACGAGGGTAAACGCTGAGCTTTAAACTTCTTCTGTGAACTTCCATCCGAATCTCGATCGGCGCACTATCGCCCCCTTCAGGATAGACCGACGTTCTCATCACAGAGAAAGGCTTGATACGTCAGCACGTCCGCCATGTTGTGAGTGTCAGGTTGATCTCGTAAATGAACACGGAAACTGTTTTTTCCGACTAAACCAAACAGCGAAACGGACTTGAATTCACTTTTGGTTTAATAGTATTTAGAAAACACATTCATTGACACAAACACAGAAAAATATGCAAATCAAAATAAGGAACAACAAAATCTCACCTGGAAAATCTGAAGGAAACTGCACTCATTTTTCTAGTTTATTTTGTTAAGAAGATTTAAACGACAAATCCTACAGAAAGATATTTCTGATGCAATAGTCCTTTTTCAGGAGAAAGCTTCTCATAAGCTTCATTTTTGTATTTACATTTTAGTTATCATTTAAAAATAATGCTAGATCAGAGGTTCACAAAAGACACCAAGTAGGCTGTCGTGAAATAATTTTTATTATTATGGGAATGTGAACCTTGATATGTGTAAAGGGCCAATAGAGACAACATTAATTAAATAAAATAAATAAATAAATCTACCATTAAGAGTCTCATTAAATAATGTAATATATTTTAAGTGATTACAGTACATAATCCAAAATAATTTTTATTAAACAAATTTATTTAAAAACATAAACAATAAAATAACAATATGTATTTTAAGAGGTTGCCAGTCTCTTGCAATGTTATTTTAAGTCACAAGGCTGAAAAGTTTGGAAACTCCAGAGCAGCAATGAAAACATTTGCAACATTTGAATTTCCTGGATAAAATAACGTTTCCAAAAGATTTAAGAATAGATGCCAGGGCCTCTCTACGTTTTATTTTATTTTTTCAGTTCAAGCACTACCAAATGCACAAAACACATGACAGTAAAATTCAACTCAGAGAAATTCAAACCCAGTCTACCTAAGTTTACAGAACTCTACAGCATCTTTGGAGTAATAAATCCAAACTCCAGCATGAAGCGGCTCAGTGAATCTGGTCTGGACTCTGTGGATCAGAGTCATGGATTCAGAGATGCTGTAGAAGGACAGAATACCTGCTGTGTGATCCAGGAACACTCCCACTCTGGAGGAAACTGGACCTGAGACAGGAGTTTTGATGTTCTTGTGAAAAAATGCATATTTTTTCTGGTAACAATCCAAAGCCCAAGACTTGTGATTCCGACCAAATCCACATTCATTCCCACCTCCTGCTCTGCTGATATTATTGTATGAAACAGCAACAAATCCTCCTCTTCCTCTCCACTCCACCTCCCAGTAACAACGTCCAGTCAGACTCTCTTTACTCAGGACCTGACAACAACCAGTGAATCTGTCTGGATGACTTGGATAAGACTGAGGTTGATTCATCAATGTCACCTTCCTGTTCTCTTCTGATAAAACCAGATGTGTGTGAGCCGAGTTTGGATCCAATGTGATTTTTACATGCATATCTTAAAAAGTCAGATTTGTTCGTTGGTTCTGACAGCAGAACATCCACCTCAGTGACCATCAGTGAGATGTTTGTCCATGAGTCTCTCAGGACGTCCTGTAGTTTGTCTCTGAGCTCTGACACAGCTGCTGCCACGTCCTCAAAGTGTCTCAGAGGACGGATGTTGATGCTGGATGAGTGTGTGGACTCACTGAGTGCTGGCAGTGAGGGGTAGTTGAGGAGAAACTGGTTGTGATCCTCTGTGTGTGAGAGCTGCTCCAGCTCAGCGTCTTTCCTCTTCAGCTCAGTGATCTCCTGCTGCAGCTTCTCCTCAACATCTTTGACTCGACTCACTTCAGTTTCCTGCTGGGATCTGATCTGCTGCTTCACATCAGAGCTTCTTTCCTGGAGGAGACGGATCAGCTGGGTGAAGATCTCCTCACTGTCCTCCACTGTTTTATCAGCAGAGTGATTGATGGCCTCCACCTCCTGTTGAAGCAGCTTCACATCTTTCTCTCTGTCCTGGATTCTCTGCTGGATGTTTCCTCGTCTCTCCTCCAGCTCTCTCTGCCTCTCAGTCCTTTCTGCTGCAGCTGATACTGTGTCGTGGCCTTTATGTTTCATCCACAGAGCAGAGATAACAGATACACTTCTTATCAGTGCGGCAGAACATGTTTATCACCTCATCATGCTTAGAGCAGATGTTCTCCTGCAGGTTCTTGTTCGGCTCCACCAGCTTGTGGTACCTGAAAGTTGATGAATAATGATGAGGCTGAAGGTGTTCCTCACAATAAGAGGCCAGACAAACTAAACAGGACTTGATGGCTTTCAGTTTTCTTCCAGTACAGGAATCACAGGCCACATCTTCAGGTCCAGCATAGCGATGGTCAGTAGGAGCAGCTTGGAGTCCAGTCTTCTTCAGTTGCTCCACTAACGTTGCTAACATGGTGTTTTTCTCTAGGACAGGCCTTGATATGAAGGTTTTCCTGCACTGAGGGCAGCTGTAAATACCTTTCTTATGCTGTTCATCCCAGTGGGTATTAATACAGTTCATGCAGTAGCTGTGTCCACAGGGAATCGTCGCCGGATTCTTCAGTAGATCCAAACAGATCGGACATGAAAAAGTTTCTCGGTCCAGCTGAACTGCCTGCGGCTCCATTTCTGGTTTCTGTGACTGTTGAGTCCTACCTATATTTAAGCCTGAGCACAGAAGGGGAAGGAACAAGCAAATATGCGATCCGACTGGAAATGGAGGAAATGCCAAGAGGAGAGCTGTTTATCAGGTTTGGTCACAGTCCTGTAAATGTGACGTGTTTCTGTTTGTACAGTAAAGACTCAACCTGAAGGTTTTCTGCCAATCAGTTCTACTGTTTATTAAATTTCATTATCAGCTTGTTTTAGACATTTACTGAATAATGATAATAACATTTTCTCCATGTCTAGAAAAACCAAATGCTGATTTTTTTTAAATGCTAGAGTTTAGTTCAGAAAACGTTTCTTAATGTCAAAATATAGAAAATGTCAAGATCTTATATATCACTAAATCTTAACTTCTAAGTAATGATTCTATAATTAAGTTTTTAATTCTATCAAACTGCAATGTTTTGTTTGTTTAGATTTAGGCAACATTACAGGCTCCTGGGTCTTTAGCGCCCCTTGTGGTAAATAATCTAAACAGCAACTCATCATTTCTTCTGTCAGGAAATGATGAGCAAAGATCTTTAGATTTCCATCTGCTGACAAAAATACCGGCAGTAGCAGTACACTGAAATAATAAAATAAAACAAACTGAGATTTCTAGTTCTTGTATTTGTTTTGTTGACATTTAATTGTTTGATATTAGATCAAGTTATAAAGAAGAATAACTCCCGGAAATCCTCTGATATGTTAGTGGCTTAATAAAGTAATAAAAATAAATGTAATTAAATTAACTACAATGAAAATCAACAATGTTTCCTCATGTTTACAAATAAAAACATCATTAAGATCCAACAGACTGATTTAAGAGAATTTATTGAATTAACGACTTGGACAACATTAAAGTATATTAAATATTAGGATATTTTTAATTATTTTCCACCTCCATCATATTTTTTCTTTAAATCTCATGCAGCAGGCTAATACAAATTCACACAGCTCAGCTTTTGAATTATGGCAAAAATGAATAAAAATCAATCAGTGGCCAGGTGGAAACAGGCTGGGTCTCTCGTTCTGGGTCACAGCAGGTCAATTTGTTTTCCATTTTCTGCCTGTGGTGGTAAAATAATTGAGCTGCATCACTTCTGATTACTGTGGTCAGAAATAAATGCTGGATTTGTTTGGTCAAATAATAAAAGACAGCACAATCTTGATTCTTTATTTTTATTTTGCATTCATACAACCTTGCGGTTTAAAGCAGAAATTGGCACAGCTGGAACTAAAATCATAAAGTGGAAAAAATATCAAAAATAAAAATGAAACAAGAAATGAAAGAGGATAATACTGTGAATAATAAGTCAGAACAATTACTTCATCAAACTTGTTTTCCTGTATTGTTCCAACAGTCAGTCTAATCTCTGTTTTTCCTCATTTGGATTCCCGGCAGCTCTCTGCCATTCATCCACAAAATCTCCTAAAGTCCTTCTGCAGGAGGTTTATTTAGATATCCATGCATATCATTCTGAGACCAGCTGCATGTTGCATCAAAAGAAAAGTGAAAAGCTGCAAAATGTTTTGATAAAGTAAGAAACACTAAGATCCTAACGCAGGAGATCCAATGAACCTGATTATCTTCTGAAACCTTCATCATCAATGATCCAGCCATGAACAACGTTTTAATCTCAGCCTGAAACATGTAGCTATGCAGTGATTATCACCATGAACTTGTTCACTTCTTTGGATTTCTGGGTTATGCAGTTGAAGAACTAAGCCAGATTTCAGGTGACTGTTTGGCTCGGATTGCTTCTGTGGAGTCAGTATGAGTAGTCAGTGTCTTGTTTTCAAAAAACTAATTTCACAACCTGGACGAAGAGAAAGAACTTTGTAGGTCTGAGCAAGCTGGCAGTAGGTACAACAGCTTCACACAAATCAGATGTGCCATTATACAACCGTACGTCTTTGAAAAGCAAAAGTGGAGCCTCCTGCACAACCAACAAGAATGCAGCAAAGTGATTTCTGGATGGTAAGTCAACAACAAAACTTCCTTTTCTTTTTCCAGGCTGTTTCATTGCAGATCTCAAATCACAGGTCTGTTTTCCTTTAAGAACCTCCACATCATGATGAGATCCACATTTGCACTAGGGTAAGTGAGCCTCTGCTGCACATGTGCTGAAACAGATGTTTCAAATGTAAATGCTAACTCTAGAAGATACAAATTGTAATATTTTCTCCTCAAAAAGAAGCCAAAAGTGACAGAAACTCTGATTGTCTTTCATGACCATCTACCCTCCACTGCCGAACTTTTCACCAGTCAGTGGCGTCTGAGGAGTTTAGAGAAGAATCCAGACAGGCTGGTTTGTCTGTCTGGGCCGGTTCCTCCTCTTTGGGTTTCGTCTTCTCCTCTACCAACCCGAGCTCTCCTTCCAGTTGCTCCAGCTCAGACTGGTCCAGCAGCTCAAGTCCTCCACCTCGCTGTCAGACTCCTCGGCTAGGTCCAGCAGCCGGCTCGAATCCGGAGGCCTTGACCTCTCGGGGTCTTCGCTCAGAGCCAAGCAGCCGACTGCGGCCTCTATCCTCTCCTGGATGGCGGACGTAACGGCGGCGGCGATAACGTCGCCGGTCATCTGGTTGACCAGTTCCAGGACGCTGTCGCTCGGTTGGCCTTCGTGTGATGGAGGAGGCGATCGCTTTGATTTGATTGGTTTAGTTGGAGGTAAGGAAAGGTCAAGACTGAGGTCATCGTCACCGTTGGTTATTGTGCCGTTATCAAGGGAAGGAAAATCTGGGAGCCCAGCGGTGAACAATTCCTCTTTATCAAGATCTGAAAGAAGCAGATATGGACCAAGAAAATGATTAAGAAGCTCAGAATAACCAACCAGGACTGTCATGTCCTCTTCTCCAATACGAAACACACAGACTTTCAGAAATAAATGTACAGTAAATTTTCTCAGGAGAAAATATTTCTCTCAAAGCTACAAAAGTCTCAATAAAAGAAATGCTGCCTTCTAACAAACAACTGAATTATTCTTAATCAATGGAAATATCAATTGGAAATTTGAGTTCCTACCAACAGCGCTTTCAAAGACCAACTCAATCTGAAGAGGTTTCAGTGTTACTGCTTGTGCTGTAATACCTAAATACCACCACTAGATGGCACTAAGGGAATATTCTTGCAGGATAAACCTGTGAAATGTCAAATAACTAACCATCCACAGGCTAAAACATTAACAGGTTCTGTTATTCTCACCTTCTGAGTTCTCCGTCTGCGGAGTGTGTCCCTCTGACAGGTTGAAAGTGCCGTTATCCGTCCACGTCACGTCAGACACTTCAGTATCTGACACCGACATGTCTTTACACACCGTGGAGTCGAGCTGTTCACCAGAAACACACAGAAATGTCACCTTTTGCACTGAAAAGCTGTCAGTTTGTATAAAATGCAGGGTAAAATCTCTGACTTTATTTTGTTTAGCCCCTCCAGCCCGCCCGACTCCCGCTGGAGGTTTAACAAGCTAACAAGACTCATAAGGATCATAAGTGGTCAATTCCAGTTGTTCTAACTGGACCCTGTTAGTGAACAGAACCAGATCCAAAAGGCGAAAATCAATTACCAACCTTGGGAAACATTGAAGAAAGGTCGGATTCGACGCCTTCTCTCTCCATCTGAGCCTGAACGAGTCTCTTCTCTGAAAAGAACGAATCAACAAGAATCAGATTCAATTCAAATAAATGCAACTTCGTTTAAAAGACAAGATAATGAAAAACACCTCATGGATTGAATATTTTCCTTTATTTGTGAGCTTTTTTGGTAGTAGTTTTTACAGAAAACTAAGAAAGTTACAGTGCATTTATCTAAAAACACATTATGGCTGCTGTTGTTTAATATTCAATATTCAGGCTTGGGTTTGCAGAGGGGAACATGTTATTCCCTCACTACAGAGTGAAATTATTTAAAAAAACATGAGCCAAAGTTTAAAGATGTCCAGAAGGCCTGCAGACTTTAACAGGTTACAAATTAGTCTGCATATTTTACAGAAAAATACTGTTTAGTACTTACCATGGTTCTGCTTGATTTTATGAAAAAATTGCCCGATGCCGAAGTCCAGCTTCTGCAGAACTGGCTTCAGCCACAAACTTTTGTCTTGAGATGAAATCAAAGGCAACAGGAAAAAACCCAGCACTGCAGGAAGGAAACAACATGATCAATGCAGCAATGATTGTAAAATAAATAGAAAAGAGTGCGACAGGTCGCTTCACTCACATATGATGTAGGAGATAACGATTCCTGGAACGTAGCGACCCAAGACAGCGAAGAAGGTGCAGAGACTGCAAACCAGCAGGCAGAACTAACACAAACACAAACAGAACTTCCTCACTGCTGGTTTTTCTGATTTATTTCTGGTGTTTGATTTTATGACAAACTCAAGCTCACGTTGCCAGGTTGTCAGCCTCACCTTGCCAGGGTTTTGCTGTTTGAACGCCGACGTCTCCTGGATGAAAAGTCTCAGGGACTCACCGAGCTGAGGTCCGGTTCTGGACCGGCTTTCCTGCCCCGAATCAATGATCTCCCAACTGGAATCACACAAACCCAGGAACCAGAATCAGTCACTGAAGCTGGAAAATGTCCCTTCATCACACGAGGATCCAAACTGTTCAAAAGGTTTTTCACAACCAGGGATTGATGTCAATAAAACAGGCGTCTGTTTGTTATTGGACAGATTCTGACCAAATTTCATTAAGCAGTTTAACTTTGTATATATTAGAGTAGTAACACAAAAACAGGAGGATGATTGCTAAAACAAACAGGTGTCAGACGGAAACCGGGAGGAGACGAAGTTTTCAGAGACAGCTGAAATATAAAATTTCCATTTCTTTCCCGGGATTTCCCTCACCTCACTTTGTGCTCTTATTTTACATAACAAGGACAAACCGTGACTGGTGTGGAAAACCAGGTAGGAGTGTAAAATGTAAGGCATGTTTCCTCCCTTAAATCCATGAACTGGAATGTTGATCCTTCATCTGTCCTTGTTTCAAAGCCAAGCCAACACACTGGAGGTGATAATACACTGTGATGTACAATGATCCAACCCCAGGTCAGCTATGAAATATATGAGAGGCTTTTTTAATGTGTAAACATTTTATTACATCAAGAGTTGTCACATTTTGGCTAAAACTGTTTGAAATACAAAATGTGGGGAACAGAAGGGAACTGCGTAGTTTCACTGTTTCTGGCTTAATGCCTGTGATTGTTTCTTTTAAATTTGCCGAGCTGTTGTTCTGGTCGTGTTCATCACGTGAAACAACTAAGCACTAAATTTAAATCCAGCTGAGGATGGAAACTTCCTGTCCTGTGTGAGCAGCTGTTCTGGAAACAGCAAACAACTGCTGCAAAATGAAGCTCAAGTTACAGCAACAACTCAGTCATCTCCTCTTGGTCTTTACGACTCACCAACAAACAACCAGCTAAGGTTGTTTATATTTTTTATAAGACTCAGTTAACTGGATCTGCTGTGATTAATCCAGGAAGTTCAGGTTTTACATCAATGCGGTTCTTGACTCAAAACTCACAATTATTTTCTGAACACAAACAGTTTCCACCTCAACTGTGTACAACAAACGAGCGAATGATCAATACGGAAGAATTCAACACTTAAATGAACAACTAAAGTGTTACTTTTATACAAATACATTCAAATATGAACATATATGAATTGTTTTGAGAACCTCTTCCTGTTCTCGGCATCAACATGGTTGAATTTAGAGCTTTAGCTTTAGCATTAGCGTCTGCTAAATACCTTGTTTTCATAATGACTAAACATTAACTACAGCTAAATACATTTGTTTGCGTAGCGTTTTAGCTTTAGCTGTTGCTAAATACCTTGTTTACATAATGATTAAACATGAACTACAGCTAAATACATTTGTTTGCGTAGCGTTTTAGCTTTAGCTGTTGCTAAATACCTTGTTGACATAGCGCTTCAGCATAGGTTCCTCTAAATATAATCTTAATATAGCACTTTTGTACTAGTATTTTCTAAATACAAGGTTGGTTTTGTGCTTTAGCATTAGCTTTTGGTAAATAATTTGTTATAGTGATGTAGCACTAGCTTCTACTAAATACCATGTTGATATACCATTCTAGTTTAGCTCCTGCTAAATACAATGTTGGTATGCTATTTTATCATTAGCATCAGATAAATACAATGTCTGTTCAGAACTTTAGAATTAGCTTTTGCTAAATACCATGTTGTTATAGCACTTTATAAGCAGAAATGTACATGTCCTGTTTGCGATAGTCTCGTGATGGTTGGATTTGATGCTTTAGGATTAGTTTCCCATAAATGTCACATTAGTTTAACTATTAGCATTAGTGGAGCTAATGTTTATAATTAGCTCCTTATTGTCCTTATGCTCAACAACTCAGGCTAATCTGAGCATTCATAGCTCTCCAAACTAAAATACAGAATGGCCACTTAACTCCAAAGCATTTTCTTATTTTCCCATTTATTTGCTTTGGCTAAATTAGAAGCTGGCTTTAGCCTCCTTCAGCTTATTCTGAACCCGATCCTCCAACACAAACTTCATCACAAATGGTCCAGCTGTTTGTTTGCTGCTTTAGTCCTTTTATAGGTTTCTTATTCTCAAGACACTTTACAAAACTAAATTCTATTTTAATCTTTTTAAAGATGGTGCAACTCCAGTGATTTCATCAACACATCTGATTTAACTTGACATGTCATGTTCCAGATTTATCTTCCATGTTAGCACATCTGACAAAAAGGTTTTGTTTTTTTAAGGACAAACTGTTTCCATTTTCTGGAGGCTCAGATCAGACCGTAGGACTTTTTCTGTCCCCAACATCTCTTCAGAATCACTTAAGAAGCTGCTGGAAACAAACACAGTTGGCCACAAAAAGCCGAAGTGTCTCATATGAGCCCACCTGACCCAAACGTCAGAGTCTCAAGTAACTCCTATGACGAAATGTCCACTGAAACCCGGCCCACCGCAGGGCTTCCAAGCACACGCGCCTGTTCGACTCTGATTTCCAGAGAGAGTGATGAAGCCAAACATG